CAACCCAACAAACGTAGTGTAACAACCCAACAAACGTAGTGTAACAACCCAACAAACGTAGTGTAACAACCCAACAAACAAGCTGTAACAACCCAACAAACAAGCTGTAACAACCCAACAAACAAGCTGTAACAACCCAACAAACAAGCTGTAACAACCCAACAAACGTAGTGTAACAACCCAAGAAATGAAATGTCTCTCACTCAGACATCTTTGTTGATGGGTAGCAGCTTCCTCCAACCCTGAACAGAAATAAGTGTATAAAAAAGTTATGGATAAAAAACCTTTAATGGGCTGCAGAACTTTTGCTTCGTTCCATCACAAAGCTGAAGTTGTAAAATCTATTTTTTTAAATCTGCTTATTAGTTGTTCATTTTATCTAAATAATAATAATTTTGTTTGGGTTAATGGTACATGCATGCCATAAAAAGACCATAATATTATGTTGTGTTCATGTCGAAGCATCAGAACTCATGTAGTGACTGAGAAAAGCTCCTCAGTCTCAGTCTGTGCTGGTGGAACAGAACAGATTAGTCAGGCCTTTAGTGTCAAAATGAGCCGACAAGCATTAAAGTCATATTAACTTTTCATTAAACATCAGCTCGCTCTGTGGACTCAGACACATACACAATGCTGCTGCTGCTGCGTGTGTGTGTGTGTGTGTGTGTGTGCACCTGTTTCATCAGCCTTCAGACCTGAATAGACCCCTCAGAACAATACTCAGTGAGTGACACACTGTAAAATGTTACATTTGGACTCGCAGTTGTTGTGTTTAATGATCTGTGTGTCACAAAAGAAACATACATGTTCAAAGATATAATGAACAAATAATAACAGCAGTTTATAGATGGGTGAGGGCTGGTGTCTGGGGTTAGAGAAGACCTGCCAGCTGATCCCCAAAAAGAAGATAAAGAAAAAGTTTAATATTTCAATAAAAATCTAAAGGAAATTAATCGAATGGCCTTTTGATTGAATTTGAACAAATTCTGTCAGCCAAGGTTTATTGTCACA